TCTACACATTGCTACTAAAGCTTCCCTAAAGAGCAATTTCCACTAGAATGTAATCCCTTTGAGAACAGGAATAGTTTGACTGTTATCATATTCCCAGATCCTAGCACAGTACCTACCTAACACAGAGTAAGCCCTTAATACATCTTTGCTGATTGACTAATTGCAATTCTAAACTAGGCAAGTATGCAGGAACACACACACACACACACACACACACACACACACACACACACACACACACACACCCCACTTTCTCAAAAACCTTCACTGGCTCCCATTAAATATTATCCAAACTCTGGATGGGAGAAGAGGTGGGTCGGATAACTTGATTAGAAGGCACTATGTACTGTCTTCAGCATAGCAAGTGGAAGTCTCTGAAGCAATCCAAGAGGACAAGGAAGATTTAGCTTTGAAACGAAAAGAAGAGAAGGGAAAAAAAAACCCGCAAGAATTCAAAGCAAAAGCTGCTAGGAAGGGATCACTTGCCAGTAGTGAAATTAAGAAATCTGGCAAAAAAAGATGACTTTCCTAAGCTAAGATCCTGTTGGTTCTTTTCCTGCTTTGAGACATCTGCATTTCTACTTTGGAATCTGTTGCCACCTGTAGCCAAAATTAAGTGTAATCTTAGTAAGTCTCCTGTACACCTTAATAAAATTTTTAATCATAAAAAAATTTATCCAAACTCTTTAGCATGCCATTCAAGAGTTTCAACCAATCTCACAAAATACTCCCCTAAAAAAACCTTCTATATTCTAGAACCAGTCTAATTAACACCCTCCCAATTAATACACTATGTACATTCTTTCCTTCAAATAAGCAATCTGTAAATTGTAAAGACCTATACAAATGTAAGACAGTGAAAAGAGAGCAAGCACTGGAGTCAGAAAATCTAGTCAAATACTGCCTCTTCCTTTTTATAATCTGTACTTGACCAATATGAGCCTTAATATTCTAAAACATCAATCATATTTGAATAGGCTGGCTAATCAAATTAGGATGATTATTTGACCACTTTGGGATCAAATAAGGTAACGGGTAATGGACTGATTAGAGTTTCTTATGAGAAGCAAAGTGGGGTTACAGAGGAAAGTTAACATGGCTATACATTCACTTAAGGAAAACAACTTTAGCCGTTGTATACAGGATGGACTGGAGTTCAAAAGAGATCTGAAAAAGGGAAACCAACTAGGAGGCCACTACAACAAATCAGGTCAGAGGTAATGATGGCCTGAATTAGGGTAGTGGCTATGTGAGTGGAGAGAAGAGGTCATATATAAGAGAAGTTGTGGAAATACAAATGACAAGACTTGATAACATACCAGAAATGGGGGAGGGGAGGGAGGAGTGAATAGTGAGAAGCCTTGGATGACATGTAGGTTCTAAATCTGCCTTACTGGAAGGATATTAATACCCTCAAAAGTAACAAGGAAGTTCAGAAGAGGAGCAAGTTTGGGGAGAAAGATGACATTACTCTGGACATGATGAACCAGGAAAACCCTCAGACATCCCCAACCAGCTATCAGGAGAAAAACTGGGGCTAGATATCTAGACCTGGGAATCTTCTGCATAAAGATGACATGAACCAATGGAAACTAATGAGATCAACAAAGAAAGAAAAGAACAGCCCAAGAAAGTTAAAGCGACTTGGGGAACACACACTGTGGTTGTGAAATAAATAAGTACATACATGTTAGTGTGCATTTGAGATAGAAGTTCAATTTTGCAGCCTTTGCTCTGCTCGTTTATTGCGTTAGGTTGCCCTTTAGCAGATACCAGGTACTCCCACATTCCAGCAGAGGCCCGACTGATTATATAAGTGGTCATTTGATCCCCTACGTTCTAGAGAAATCATGGATGCTTATGATTTGCCTAAGGAATCACTGTGAACAGGGGAGATACTTTCTGATTGGCTAATAAATCTGGAAAAGAGGAACTCTCTCTGATGATTAAGGCTCTATGGGATTTGCACAACACAATCTTGGCTTTTTCAGGTGAAGTTCAAAAACAAAAGCACCATAGTTTGTCCTCTGTAACTCTTAAAAGCAGAAGAAAAAACCCAAGAAGCATTGTAAAACCGCAAAGGGAACTGAAGCCAATAAAACTGGTTGAAATGGAAGCTGATTCCAGAGCCAGCAGTTGGATAGCATAATTAAATTACTCTTTAAGTAAAGGACAACTCTTTAAGGAAAATTCTCAATCTTGGGACAGATTTTGTAGAACAGCATGAAAGACTTCCACATCCCTGCCTGTCTTAAAACCCAACAAGCATGTAAAAATAAAAAGCCCTTTAAACACTCCATGCCTCCTGGTGTTCGCATGACTAACTGAAAATGTTAAGTCTAACCTCTCCAGAAAGATTTAGAGAAAAATACATATGGAAAAAGTCATTCAGTGAGATATTCCGATGAAGGCTTAGGAAATTAGAAATTAGGCGGCAAAGAGGTTGTGGCACCTACAAGTGAGGGAAACACTTGCAGAACCACTAGACAAAGATGAACAACTCTCCCCACCCCCCAAGAGAGCCCTGGAGCAACAGAGAGATGGAAACAGAAATAGGAAGCAATGGAAAGAGTCATGGCTGCTTCTTTTTCCCCTCTCTCTTACCTATAAAGAGGAGAGTTCATATCACACTGACTCTAGGATCAAAAGATGTGCCATATAGCAGTGCCCAATCTGCTGACCCCATCCTGCCTCTTGTCTACTTACAAGCTGGCAAATAAGCAGGATGAAGATGGCAAAGGGGATCACTACAGAGGCCTGAGTAGGTCAATAATTTCCAATTACATTTTTGCCTTCCCGTCCCACAATAGAAGAGAAAAAAAAAGATGTTCTTCAGACCATAAGAGGCAGGCCTAAAAATTCATCCCAACTCTACTTGCTATAATCACAAAGAAGAAATGATTTTCTTGAGAGTGATTACCTTTTCTGTATATATGTAAAAAAAAGAACCCTTTAACAATACTAAACAATGTGGTGCAATCAAATACCTTGCTAACACTTTGTAGTGAATATTCTGATTTTAAATGAAGATGTTATTAGACTTCAGCAGGAAAAATCACTTGGTTCCATTTCTCCCCCACTGTGAAATTACCTCATTAAACCTGAACAGCAGGAAGTAAAAGCTTCTCCACCAACAGCTGACAGCGAAACTTTGCTGGGACAAACTGTGAGGAACAAAACCTGTTTTCTTCTAAAGGGGAAGACTGGAATATGTCAAAATTACTCTTCTGCTTGCATGTTCTGGGCCCAATGGGAGGGAAAGAACACAACAGGTCAAGTGGAAAACAGGATATGACAACTGAAAGGACAATTTATAAATATAAGGCAAATGGCCCTCAAATTTTTTAAACATATAATTAATTTTTAACCTACAGGGGTAACTGAAAAATTAAACTGAAATTCACCTATTTCCATGTTGATCAAGGAGCTGTTTGGGCACTTAGTATACTTTGGTTTGAGCACACCAGCACTAGAGTTTCTGTGGAATCTGAAATTTGTTCATGAGGCCTCGGACCTCCCTATAACAAACCTGCACACTACTCCCAAATTCTCCCTTTCCCTTAGTCTTAGAGTTAGTCATTAAATTCCCTTCCAGTCTTTCCTCCTCATACTTTCTTAGGTCCTTCTCCGAGCACCTATGTACTAAACTGGCTTTTCATTTTTCTGACCTCTTCAACCTCTTTTTAAATATTTATTAAAGAAAAGCAACATTGCATAGTGGATTGAGAGATGGCCTTGGAGTCAAGAGAATATGGGTTTATGTCCTTCCTCTGACACCTACCCTGGCTGTGTAAACCTGGGCAAGTCACCTGACCCCAGGCCATTCTCTAAGACTGTAAATAGCAATCAATGGATGTCTTCATTAGCAGAGGAAGATTTTTACATGGAGCTCCTTACTCTGGTGAAAACAAAGGCATGGTCAAAAGATTAAACAGTCAGACAGATATTAAAGTAGGAATCTTCATCAAAGGACCAGATTTTTAGAATCATAAAACACAGAATCACAGATGATTAAAGCTCAAAGAGACCTTAAGAAATCATCCAATCCAACTCCCTAATTTTTTTTGGTGAGGCAACTGAGGTTAAGTGAGTTGCCCAGGGTCACACAGCTTGCAAGTGTTATGTGTCTGAGGTCACATTTGAACTCAGGTCCTTCTGACTCCATGGCTGATGCTCTATCCACTGAGCCACCTAGTTGCTCCTAACTCTGTAATTTTAAAGATGAGGTAGCTGAAGCCTGAATCAGTTAAACTGTTTGCCTGAGTAACAGTGGCAAAACTGAGATCTGTACCAGATCCTCTGAATGTCAATCTCATGTTACTTACACTAGACGACACTATTAACAAATCCTATTTTTCTCAAGTTGTTAATGATATGCTCATTTTGAACCAGAAGAGTGGTCAATCAAACTCCACTGGTATTGTAGCAATGTCAAGGGAACCACAGGAAGGCAAAATGTTGGGTGAACCCAATGTGAAAAAATTATGGGAAGACATAGACAATCATCACACAGGAGGAGAAAGTACGAATGAATATGTCTCAGCAATCTGTACCACTGGAGTACCACATTCTGAGATCACAGACAAATCAAAGTCAATATATGCTGAAGTGTCAAAATATGTTTACTCTATGGTTTTTAAATATCTAATATCACAGGCTACAAATTCTGTCCTTAAATTCCCAAACTGATGAAAAAGACTTTAAAATGGAATTTATTATACTTCTGCTAGTATTAAAAAACATGTAGCTACCTGGCACCACCCCCTTAAACTTGGTCCTTCATGTCCTCAAAGTTATAATATTCTGATATTTCAAATTGAGTTTGTCTTTAAAGGTCATGATTAACTCAACCACGTCACAGACTAACACACAAATTAATTAAAATCAAGACAGACTCTTAAGATAACCTGATTCAGGGAAATCAAGGGGATAGCTCTCCAAAAGAAAGGCTGTGAAAACTGAAAGAGGGGACAGCAACTTCACACATATTTATTACATACCTGATATTTAAGCCCATGGTTTGCTCCAGTCCTTCCCAGCTTTTCAGCCTTTCCAGCAGTTTCTAAAAAGTGAAAGAAATCATAATGTATCAAAACTGTTTCCTTCCTTCTCAGATTCCTTAAAATTCAACAGCTTTTGTAGCCTCATGATTAGAGGACAATGGATATTGATTCACAATAACACTCAGGGCCAAATCACAACTGCTCTCCGAATCTAAGGGTTGACTAGATATGATAATAGATAAATTTTTATTTTTCATTATTTTTTATAATCTCCTACCTCCTTAGGAAAGTGCAAACATTATAAGTAATAATGCAAACAATTAAGTTTTTTTTTCCCAACTGCTGTAGTTCCAATGCATGTTTCCCTGGTTCATTCTTGTCTAGTCCTATAACTGAAAATATACATCCCAAAATGCAAAAAATAACGAGAAATAGCCTTAGACCCTTACTGCAAAACCATGAACCAACCAAAGATCCCAGAATCATGAGCAATGGCTGCTCCACTAAAGGCAGCATAGCGTAGCAAAGAGACATGGCCTCAAAGACAAGAACTTCAAGATTCAAGGCCTACGTAGATGTATATGGACTGCGTGACTCTAGACAAATCCCTTGACCTCTCAATGCCCCCAGCAACTCTCTCTGTAGGTTGCATAGCAGGTGTAGATTTCAACTATCAGAGGAAGTTCCTACCTAGAAGCTCTATCCAGGTGATGAAATCACAAACATGACTCCCCAAGAAATCCTCCTGACCGACCCAAAAAGGAAACCCAGCCCCACAAGCTTCTTTCTTTTTCTCATGACCTGAGGAATGCACTGTATGATTTAATCCCTAGGCCCAGAAGAAAAGATAATAGAAACAGGTTCTTTCCATTACTATAAGAAGATGGAGCCCCACAACCGCCAAGTCAGAGTATTATAATGACTTCGCCATCTTGTTGGAGACTAAGATTTTTAACAATTAAACTAAAAAAAATTAAGTAGGTGAATCTATTCATCAGTTATTTAGTACATGCCCTTCAACTGCATTAGGCGCCTGACTTCAAGAAAAATACATAACTAGTCTTAATATAAGTGAATAGTCTTAATAGAATGAAACATTATCAAAGAGGAATGAAAAGAAAAAAGAACCAGGATTGAAGCAGGATGGGTTCTAGTCTCTTTCCCCCTCATTGTATCACTAGGTAATATAGCAAAATTATAAAGATCAAGCTTGACTTAAAAGAAGAGATATAAGAGGACACTTCCAGCCCAGGGTTCTTGGAGGTGGCAGACCCACAGGTATGGCACATACCACCTGTTTTCAGACTTTTTCAATGAATTGGTTTTTCCTCTTTTCTTTCCATCTTTAAAAAAATGCTATTTGTTATATGGGATGGCCCTCTAGGAGCATGGGACAGATAATGGAGAATACCACTAGGATATAAAGAAGAAAAGACATTAATAAAAACTTAGAGTTTCACCAACACAGTGGAAAAATAAAATATGATGAAGAATGTCTTCTGTAAAATTCTACTCTGTAGTTGTACGGAGAGCTAATTAAGTTCATCCATGAGTAGATCTATTACAGACACATACTGCAGATGTAAAATAATAAGGGTCTCCTCAAGTTTAGGATTTTAAAACCAACACAACTATCCTCAGACAAAAATCCTGATGTGTATTACAAAAGAAGGTCCAGGAGGGTTGAGCCAAGATGGCAGAGTGAAAGCAGTGACTTGCTTGAGCTCTCCCCCAAACCCCTCCAAATACTCACAAAAAATGGCTCTGAACAAATTCTGAAGCAGCAGAACCCACAAAAAGACTAAGTGAAACAAATTTCCAGCCCAAGACAACCTGGATGATTGATCAGAAAGGTGTATCGCGCCAGGCTGGGAGCTCAACACGGGCACGCAGACCACAGCAAACCTGGAGCAGGCCTCAGAGGACTGAATCGCGGGCAGCTGTGGAGGTCTCCAGACTCCTCAATCCACTAATGCCAAAGACAACTTAGACGGTCAGTGGGAAAAGTCTGTTTCTGTCGGTGGTCAGAGAAGAAGGTGGGGTTTCAGTTCTATTCCCCAAGAGCGTGGCCCGGGGGGGGGGGCAGCTGCTTCTCAAGCTTCCAGACCACAGACTGAGGGGGAATCCAGTGGCTGATCAGAGAGGGACTGCAGGGATCTCTTTGCCAGTGCTGAGGCAGGAATCTCTTGCTTTGCCCGTGTGTGGATCTGGGTCACAGTTCTGGGCGGTGGTGCTGGGGTGAGGAGGAGCGCTGGCATGGTGGAGCTTGTAGTGGCTGTGCAGAGGAATCCCTCCTCACAGTTACAGGACAGAAAGTAGTACTAATAGTCACAGGCCAGGAAAGGAGTAAACACCTCACCCCTTATCATACCACCTTGGAAGAACTGAAAATTTACAGGTCCCTACAAGTATCTCTGAAAACAGCTACACAAACCCCTGAAGCTTGGGACAGTACACTCTCCACATTGGAAGCAGACTCTTACCTTAACAAAGAGTTTAAAACTCAAGTAATTGGCTGGGATCATGAGCAAGCAGTGCAAAAAGAGTCAGACTATATTATCTTACTTTGGTGACAAAGAAGATCAAAATATACAACCAGAAGGAGACAACAAAGTCAAAGCTCCTACATCCAAAGCCTCCAAGAAAAATATGAATCAGTCCCAGGCCTTGGAAGAGCTCAAAAGGGATTTTGAGAAGCAAGTAAGGGAAGCAGAGGAAAAACTGGGAAGAGAAATGAGAGTGATGCAAGAAAATCATGAAAAACAAGTCAACAGCTTGCTAAAGGAGACCCAAAAAATACTGAGGAAAATAACACCTTAAAAAATAGCCTAACCCAAATGGCAAAAGAGGTCCAAAAAGCCAATGAGGAGAAAAATGCCCTAAAAAAAAAATTGGCCAAATGGAAAAGGAAGTCCAAAAGATTACTGAAGAAAATACTTCCTTAAAAATTAGAATAGAGCAATTGGAAGACAGTGACTTTATGAGAAATCAAGACACTGTAAAACAAATCCAAAAGAATGAAAAATTAGAAAACAATGTGAAATATCTCATTGGAAAAACAACTGATCTGGAAAATCGACCCAGGAGAGAGAATTTAAAAATTATTGGACTCTCTGAAAGCCATGATCAAAAAAAGAGCCTAGACATCATCTTTCAAGAAATTATCAAGGAAAAGTGCCCTGATATATTAGAACCAGAGGGCAAAATAGAAATTGAAAGAATCCACAGATCTCCTCCTGAAAGAGATCCCCAAAGGAAAACTCCTAGGAATATTGTAGCCAAATTCCAGAGTTCCCAGGTCAAGGAGAAAATATTACAAGCTTCCAGAAGGAAACAATTCAAGTACTGTGGAAACACAATCAGGATAACACAAGATTTAGCAGCTTCTACATTAAAGGACGCAGGGCATGGAATATAATATTCCGGAGGGCAAAGGAGATAGGATTACAACCAAGAATCACCTACCCAGCAAAACTGAGTATAATCCTTCAGGGGAAAAAATGGTCATTCAGTGAAATAGAGGACTTTCAAGCTTTCCTGATGAAAAGACCAGAGCTAAACAGAAAATTGACTTTCAATACAGGACTCAGTGGAACATGAAGAGGTAAACAGGAAAGAGAAATCATAAGAGACTTATTAAGATTGAACTGTTTACATTCCTGCATGGAAAGATGATATTTGTAACTCATGAGAACTTTGTCAGCATTAGGGTAGTTGAAGGAAAAAAATTTTATGTATGTATATATAGATAGATAGATAGATAGAGGGCACAGGGTGAGTTGAAGATTAAGGGGTCATATCTGGAGAATAAAATTAAGGGATGAGAGAGGATGATACTCGAGAAGAAAGGGAGAGGTAGAATGGGGTAAATTATCTCACAAAAAAAAACAGAAAAGAAAAGTCTCTCACAGTGGAGGGGAAACAGGGGGGTGAGAGGGAATGAGGAATCTTATTCTCATAGGATTTGGCTTAAGGAGGAATAACATACACATTCAATTGGGTATGGAAATCTGTCTTACCCTACAGGAAAATAGGGGGAGAAGGGGACAAGAGAGCAGGGGGGTGATAGACAGGAGGGCAGATTGGGAAAGAGGGTAATCAGAAGCAAATACTTCTGAGGAGGAACAGGGTCAAAAGAAAGAATAGAATAAATGGGAGGGCAGGATAGGATTAAGGGAAATAGAGTTAGTTTTTCACAACATGTCTATAAGGAAGTGTTTTGCAGAACTGTACATGTACAACCTATATTGAGTTGCTTGCCTTTTCAATGAGGGTGGGTGGGGAGGGAGGAAGGGAGAAAATCTGGAACTCAAAGTTTTAAAAACACATGTTTTAAAAAAAAATGTTTCCACATGCAACTGGGAAATAAGAAATACAGGAAATGGGGTACAGAAGTCTATCCTGCTATACAGGAAAATAGAAGGGGAAGGGGATAAGGGAAAGGAGGGAGGAGAGATAGAAGAGAAGGCAGACCAGGGGAAGGGGTATTCAGAATGCATGCCATCTTGGGGTAGGGGGAGGGGTGAGAAATTTGGAACTCAAAAATTTGTGGAAGTGAATATTGAAAACTAAAAATAAATAAATTTAAAAGCTTAAAAAAAAAAAGGTCCAGTCTGAAGGAAACTATGGTCCATGTATGATATTACAGAAAAAAAAAACCTCTTCCAAATAAAGAATATCCCACATTCTCTTATTCTCACTACTATAAGAGACATTACAATAAAGACTAAGGTTTAAGGGGGGAAAAAAGGAAACTGCCAGTTTGAATAAACAAATCAAACTGGACTTAAGGTCCTAAGGTCCTTCAAGAAAGCTAAGATAGGCAGGTAAGGAAACAATATTCACCAGACAGCAGGCCTCTTAACTATAGATCCTCACCTCCTTCTCCAATTCCAAGGCCACCATATCTTCCTGTAGCTTCTCATGACGTTCCAGTTTTCTCTGAAGTCCTTCTACTTCTTCTTTCAACAAGCCATTGTTCTCTTTCATTTCTCTGATGGCAGCAGGGAGAGAAGAACCAATAATTTATAAAGCAACCAATTCTTCATCCTAAACCAGTTCCTGGGCTTGATCAGCAAATGCACAGCATCTACCAAGCCAGAAGACACTTGGTCTCATCCTAGTCTAGAAAACTAACTCTTGGTTCATACTTTTATCATTACTTGGATGAAGGAACAGATTTTAATTCAACAAACATGCATTAAGCACCTACTAGGTACAAGGCATTATACATGGTGCTAGGAACACAAAAAAGAAACCAAATAATTCCTGGCCTCAAGAAGCTTATATCTACTGGAGAGGACACAACTTATATATTATACAGATGAGAACAGACAAGCAGTGACAACTGGAGATGGAGGCACCCTGGTGTTCACACAGGAGGAGGCACCTAGGCTGAGACTAGAAGGCTACAAGCTATTCTAAGAGGTAAAACTGAGGATGATGGAGACCATTCAGATATGGCAGTGTGCATGCATAAAGGCAAAAAGAGAGGAGTGTGAATGCAAGGTTCAGGGAATTGGGTTAGAATGCAGAATTTGTGAAGAAAGGAATAAATATGAAATGAATTAGGGAAGTAGTCAAACTGAAGAATATTTCTAATGTCAGAACGAGATGTTTCTGTTTTATCACAGAACAGGACAGTAAGATGCCTTATTTTATTCTATTCTCTCTCCCTGTGCCTTAAGAAGATGATTTTTGCAGCAGTGAAGAAGATGAATTAGAGGGGAAAGACACTAGAAGAAAGAACACACTAATTCAATTCAACAAGCATTGAAGTGTCTATCATACATAAAGTACAATTAGAAGGCTTTTGCAATAGTCCAGGGGAGCAGTGTTTCAGGGCCTGAATTAGGTATAAGTTGGTGAATAAAGAAGGGGAAACAGATACAAGACACTGTGAAGATATAATCTAAGAGACATGATAACTGATTAGATATGGGTGATGAGAGAGAGGGAAAAATCGAGGATGACTCTGAGTTTGGCCTGGGGTGGGCAGTCTGAGAGAGGACATGGTAGCTGTCTTCAAGTATTTGAAGGATTCAAATGTGGAAGAAAATTAAATTAGTTAGAGACCAGAATTAGTAACAATGAACAGGATATTAAGGGAGGCAGATTTCTGTTCCTAACGACTAGAGCTGTCTAAAAGTGATATGGGCTACCTCAGGAGGTAATGAGTTTTTTATCACTGGAAATCTTCAAACAGAGACCACACTTAAACATTTATCTAGGGTGTTGAAGAGGATCTCCCAGTCTGGTATGGATAAGACCAGGTGACCTCAGAGGTCCTATCTGAGATTCTAGGAAATTTAAATATTAACTGGAGAAACAAAAGGCTCTTGAGTTCTGCCAGCAACAGGCCTTTTTTTTCCTTCCCCTTTTACCTCAGGTAGACATTCTCCTCCCTTAGCTGTCTCACTTCCCTCTCCATCTTTGGGAATCGTACAAGTTCTGACTTCATGTTCTTCACAATGGCAGCATCCTGCTCCTGCAGAGACAGCTTCTGCTCCAGTTCCTAAGAAGACAGAGACCCAAAAGAGATGGAACATGGGAGCACTGACAGCCTGCTGATGAACTGTTAAACTTCAGCAAATTCCTTTTTTAATAACAATGAAATTTGCTGTACTTCATAAAATCACATAGTGCTACTGACTCAATATTTGACTCATGTTTTAAACAACGTGGATGTCTCTATCTTGATGCAGCTACAGACACCTTGTCCACTTATTTCTAAATGTCTTAATAGGGTTAGAGGTATAATGTGTGATTATTAATAAAAGAAAGATAAGTGGTTCATCAAACACTACAAATTTGGCCTCCTTAACCAGATCTTTAACTCAGTCGCCACAGACTCAAAATTCATACATTCCATAAAATTAAAACTCTCCCATTTTATTTCCCTTCAAAAACACATGTTAATTGACTACATATTTTTCTGAGCAAAGAGCTACTCAATATATTTAAGGAAACTGCAATTAAGCTGAAGCCAGGGACTACAGGTTTGAGATGGCCCAATCTAACACAGAACTAACCAGTTAAAGAGTATCCACACCATCCCATCCTCAAACACACTTCTGAATTGTCCTTCAGAAATACCAGGTCCAGGGGCAGCTAGGTGGCGAGTGGATAGAGCACCGGCCCTGGATTCAGGAGTTCCTGAGTTCAAATCTGGCCTCAGACACATAACATTTACTAGCTGTGTGACCCTGAGCAAGTCACTTAACCCTATTGCCTAACCCCCCCAAAAAAAAAGAAGAAGAAAAAAAAAGAAATACCAGGTCCACCATCTGAAATGACTATAAAACACAAACACCTTTACCTAACTTGGAGGGAGGAATAAACCAACATACTACTCACTTTGATTTTCTTTTCACTGTCAGCTATAAGACACTGGCTTTCTTGGAGCTCCAGGACGCGTTGGCTGGCTTCTTGCCACTTTCTGTTGAATACAGAAGAGAGTTACCACATGAATATACAGAGGCATTTCACAAATTAAGCATCATTCCAAATATGAAAGTCCATCCCATAGAAGTGTATTAATAAAATCTGTATGACTTTGGAAAAGCCAGGACAAAGGGCAAGCAAGGTAAGCAGCAGCTACTGGGTATAAAACAGAATACTTTTTAACATTTTAAAAATGCACATGTTTTTAATGCCAAAAAGTCCTATTTATGGCATGTTATTACTTAATCTGTACACTTGACAACGATTACTCAAGCCATAGCTGGACAATAAAAAAATCTTCCAAGGAATGAAACAATGAAAGGAAATGGCCTTTATCAATGGCTGTCTCCGGCCGTCAAACACCACATCTTCTGTGCAACTGCCTAAGCTCAGGGCATAGAGGCGGCCTTGGGATGAGAATGTAATGAACCACAACATACAAAAAAAATTACAAGTCACAATAAAGGATTTCAAAGGATATCATCACTAAAAATGGATTCTATTTCCCTACCTTCACATTCGTCAGGGCAGCAACACAAAACAACAACCCTCAGGACAGGAGAAATGCCACCAGACTTCAGAATGCCACTCCCCAAAGGGTGGGAATTCTATACTTTCATATCACCCAAATCCCAAGGAAGCTTCCTTGCCTTCTCAAAGGAAAACCATTCCATGCTACATAAAATAAATGCTAGTTCTACCACATGCCATCCCCTTGGTGGAAAGGTCCCAAAAATCTTCCCAGGGAGGTTCCACCACTTAACTGACCTTAAAACAACTCTGCCCTTAGGAAGAAACCTAACATAGTCCAATGGATGAAGAGCTTAGTACAAATACACACACAGGACAGGCAAGACTGCCTCACTGAAACAGCAAGGTACCCCAAGGTAAAGAGCAAATGCCAGGTAAATCAAACCACCACCACCACCACCACCACCTTGATCGCTATCTCCCCTCAGATTCTAATGAAGACAGCCAAGGCTCCTGAGCCCCAAATCCTTGGGAACGGCAGTAACCCAGCCCTAAACCACCAGATCTGCTTCTAGCCCAGCATCCACAGCCATCATTGATAAGAAAAATTGTAGAAAGAGGGCCCACCTTCCCCATCAGCCCCAGTAGCAAGTACTGACCAGTGGCCCACAATCCCTAGACTACCAGTCTTGCTTCCAAGTCCAGCCCTCACAGTCATCATCTGAGGAAATAATTCCTGTGGAGAAAGAGTCAGCCATCTCCACCAACGGCACAGGGCAGACAAGTCAGCCTACCTGAAGCAGCAACAGGGCCCCCTGAGGGAGACATAGGAGGCAGCACATGTGAGGCCAGTCAGACCACCACCACATTCTATTTGACTCTGTGCTCCTTCAGGGTAGGAACTATATTTTCCTTCTTTTTGTATCCCCAGCACGTAGTATAGCTCCTGGCACGTAGTGGACACTTATTGACTGATTAGCATCTTCCCTCAGATCCCAATGGAGACAGCCCAGGACCCTGAACCCAAGAGCCTTGGGAATAGCAGTGCTTCCAGCCCAGTGCCCTCAGCCATCCTCCTGGGAAGCAACCCCTGTGGAGAGGCAGCCTGGCAATTCCTCCTACAGGTGCTGCAGCCCCAGCCACCGAAGACCAAGAAAAGAAAGTTCTTGCCACCAAAGTCCTTGGTGTTGTCAAACAGTTCGGCATAAGAAAGTGACATAATTTTATCAGTGGAAATAATATCAAAGAAGAGTCATTACCATCTGCTCGCTGAGCACCCTAAGGACTATGGGACCTTTCCATCTGACTTGCGGTTGCCTTCTGGGCTGTCTTCCCCCTTAAAATGTGAGCTGTTTGAAAGGAGTGAGCTGTACTTCTCTATCTGTATTCCCAGCACTTAGCAGGCTGCTTTGCACATAGTAAATACTTAATAAACACTTTATTCATTAAAAAAAAGATTAAAAAAACTGCAACAGTATCAATGCCCTCTAAAAAACAGAGTCCATGCAGTAAAAGTATTGTCTGGGACATTTCACAGTGTTTCTCCAAAGAAAAGGGAATGGAAAAAAAAGAAGGTAAACAGGGAATATCAGAGACAAACAATAACGATAAAAGCTCCAGCAAAGTTGCCAATCAGTACCATGGGTCAACATCATCTGTAACAAGAGGGCTGAGAGGCCCTAAGCATCTTGCAGGCAAGCTGCCTCAGGATCTAAATTGTTACTGAGACTCATCACAAAGTACCACCAACCAGTCCACCAGGCAAAACTTCCTCTTCCCTGGGAGCCCCATCAGAGGGGTCGTACCAAATTCCTGTCCCTTTGGAGGCCTCTCCAGAGGGGTTACCCTCACCTCACCCCGCCTTCCACTACCTTCTGTGGAGGCTGCACAAACACTCCCCAACACCTTCATCCAGGAACACAGGACTACTTCTAAGTAGGCTATTCTCCACAATGATATCAAGGCAGTTTCACCATCACCTCCTCATGTTACTAGAAAATAAAATGCCTCCCAACAATCTCACCTCTTTTTCCTTTAAATCCTTTCTAGAAAGGATTTAGCCAAATTATCCCAGGAAAAGAGACCTGCTAATTTAATAGAGGGTCGTGAACCATTTCTCCCAGATTCACATTCTTCTGGGGGAAAAAACTTAAAGGGCCAGGTGTCTTCAGATCAGGGATGGAATAACAGAAAGAGTCAAACAGAATTATGCCTAAAAGTAGTTCATTCTCATAGGTGCAGCCTTCTTAAAGGACACATCCAAGAAATCACTGAAAGAGAAAGCAAACCCTCTTCCTAGCACAGCAGTAGTTCATCCACTACAGACACGACTTCTGGAAAGGGAGACCCCCCCCAACCCCAATAATCAAGCTACGATGATAGAGCTGCTCCTTCAATTGCTCATTCCAGCGTTCAATAAACACCAGATGCCTGAAGATGACATCAGACAGAAGGCCTAGCAAATGCATTGGCAGTCCGCCCAATATTTGAAATGTTTCACAGTAAAATGGGCACCCTGATCAGAAGATATGGTGTAGGAAGTCCATAAGGAAGAACGATAAGTTCTGAAAAAGCTCGGACACTGGCATACTTCACCGGCACTGCAACATGACACAGTGTCCTGCATAAACATTAACTGCACGAGCAAGAACAAATTCTTGCCAAGAGATGGAGGAAAATGAGCAATATTATCAACGTGTCAGCTGACGGCAGATCGAGAACACAGCAGAATCAAGCCACGCTGAGATTTCAAAGGGGACTGCTCCAATTGGCAGAAGCAGCTTTCTCCTCCTTAGCTGAAGGAATCACATAATCCCACACCCACCACAAAAAGCATTCACAGCTCCCATGTCCAGACTGAGGATGAATCCAGCCCCTAATGTCTGCCATGTTGTTGCTCAGTCATCTCAGTCATGTCTGACACTTTACGACCCCATTTGGGGTTTTCTTGCCAAAGATTTTGCAGTGGTTTGTCATTTCCTTCTCCAGCTTATTTGAAAGATGAGGAACTGAGGCAAATAGAATGACGTGACTTGTCCAGGGACACACAAGCTAGTAAGTGTCTGAGGCCAAATTGGAACTCCAGACCCAGCACTCTGCTGTTATCAAACTGGTTATTAGGCCCAACAGAGGAAAAAATGGTGTCTAGGAGGCACTGGCAAAATTCCTTCATTAATCTTGATGACAAAGGGAGAAAAAATGGTATTGCCTAGAAATTGTCCCTAGACCCATGGCCACCGCTCCAGAGTCAATATAGATGAAGATATTATCTGTAGCATCCCTCAAACTTCTCTTATAAACCAACCTTATCATTCACAACTTGGCCATGATGCTATGCTATGATGGGCACAGGACCATATGATCCTCTCAATTATGAAACTGTGCCAAGACCCCCAGACCTCAGTTTATCTCAACATTACTTAATGGCCATTAATATCCAGTTGCACACATTTCTCTCATTATGGTCAGAGCCATCAGAGAACCAGGCAAAAAGACTTTCCTCAAGAGCCAAGTAATCATAGGTTTCTTGGACTAATGGGAGAGACGAAGCAGTAAGGCTATACTGAAGGGTTATAGCACTAGCACTAGTCATGATGAGGACTAAGCATGTGCACCCACATGTATGTACACACACACACACACACACACGGGCCTTAGACAAGCATGATCTTGAATGTAACATTTCCATTAAACAATGGAAGCTTCCTATGGCCTATCCATCCTATTAGAAAAGCCATATTACATCATGGAATTCACAATAGGCAATTTTGGACAAAGGGTAATGGTCTGATCCCCTGGCATCTCAGTAGCAACTAGGGCCCAATAAGAGGCCAGCAATTGATTTTGAAAAGTGGTGCAACAAGTAGCCACTTCAAGGAGCTGACAGATCCACAAACGTACCAGTCACTTAATCTGGCCTTCCCTTGGTGCCTGACAAAGGTACCATTCAGACCAGTCCTAGTGACCACAGAGCTCTAAAAACACAGGCCCCACAGAGAGTGATAAGGACTCAACAGAAGAGAGACTGCTGAAAAGTCTGTTTTCGGTCTTCCCATTCTACAACCTGTTCTTGGTCCTGCTTAAGAGGCAGGCTAGTGGGTACTCAGTAAATGGAGGTCAACAAAATAACTAGGGTGGGAATAGGGTTTCCCCAACCAAATGAACAAATAAGCATCTGAGGTTACTTTTCAATTGTGGAAGAAAATTAGCATCTTATTATGGACTATATCATCTGGCTTTCCCTTAGGCGAAAAATTTAACTAAGCTAGCTGGACCAAGAATTTTCACAAGGTTAATCTCCTACCCTATATACTTCACATGAGTCACCAACAGATCTAGGGCTTGGTCAATACTGTATCATCAAAAGAGTGTTGAACATCAATGCTCTCAAGAAACGTGGCTCTTTTAGATGTTAGCAATATGAAAGAGAACACAAGGCTAAGGAAGGACAGAGACAGTAAACTGGAACTACTTTCCAAATAAAAGCAAACTACTCTGGACTATTCTCCGTCAGGAGAATAGAGA